GAACAGGAATGAACATCTGCATGTTCAGAAAGACCGAATGAGGACAGGAACAGCATAATCTTGCAGAGGCAGAAAAGAAGTGTAAAAGAAGAAATTTCCCTTACACTGAAACATATGATATAAACCCAGAACAGGCAGAAATGACATCTTGAAGTTGCCACCAAGCCTGTTCTTGTAAGGAACCACAACCCCCACTACAACAGTAACTGAATGGTTCTCATATTTCCATATGAAAAATATTCAGTTTCCTAGATTTTTATGAAAAAAAAGGAAAAATTTGATGAGCAAATATAACCTGGGCGGTACTCCAAAAGGTACCCCCTCTCCAATTGAAGGGATCAAAGCAGGTGCACAAGCACTATGGGAGGTGTAGGGACTCTCCTCCCCCTATAGAGCAGAGCCAGACCACCACTGGGGACTTAAACATATACCTTTTAATGAGGGAACAATACTGGGAACATAACAGGCATAATCAGGGGCTATAGTGGACACTACAATGCCCCAAGGGGCAGGATTCAACAAAGGTTAGACACTTACAATCATTGACAAAAGACAGGGTTAACAAAATATAAAACACAAACAGCAGAGCAAACAATACTGGTTGGGGAAATATAAAAAAAAGGCACAAAATGTCAAAGAAACAAGTAGGGCCTAGGCACCTGGAAAGGGAGAAAGCATAATGGCCCCTTTTCACTGCAAGAGGAATTTTTCCTTATTAGCTCCCTCTCCCCAAGTCACTAAAGCTGGGACTTGAACTTGGATCTCCCATGTGGTAGACAGGAATGCTACCACACAGCCACCAGTGCTGGTATTGCTCCAAGCTGCTAGGGGTCTTGACCTTCCTGGAGCCCCGGCCTCACGTCAAGCTGCCTGGTCTCTGATAGGAGGAGCTGGAAGCCAAGCTGGGACCCCTCAGGTTGCTGTTCAGATCCTTGCTGAAGCGGGAAGCCTCTTCTGCCAGCCACATGCTGGGCTGCTGAGGGTCCAACTGCTACCTGCAGGTCCTGCTCCTTCAGGCTCTTCTGGGGTAACTGCTCCTGCCCCGCTGGCTCAGCTCTTGCCAGCTCTTTGAAGCTCCTTCCTCATGGTCCCTCGCTGGTCTCTCCCTGAGTCAGCCGTGCTGCCCCTTTTATCTCCCTCCAGGTGACCCAAGGGGCCAATCAGGGGACATAAGGGGTGAATCTCTGGGGCCTGATTGGTGAGGAAAGGGAATCCCAAGTCCTTTAATCATCTTTTACACCTTCAAAACCCCTGGGCCAAATCATTACCAGATTGGTGAGGAAAGGAAATCCCAAGTCCTCCAATCATCTTTTGCCCTTTCAAAACCCCTGAGCTAGGTCACTGCCAGCTAGCTCGTCACACAAACAAAGGTGAAACAAGGTTGCACACAATTTCATTGTGGTTTTTTTTCCTGCCTGGTTTCCACAGCTCTATTTTGTGGCCTTTGGACATGTGTAGACAAAACAAAATTTCCCATTTACATTGATGTAACTGCATTTGTGTTTGCACGACCCAGGATTTCCCACCACTTCAAAGTCCATTTAGTGCCTTAAACTAACACTACTTGGAGATGTTTTAATTTGCGTTGCTTTCCAGTTCAACTGTGGATTTTGTTCGTGCAAATAGCCAGAGACTCCAAAGAATTGTAATTAATCCCCTTCGCCATGGGGGCTGCTGCGTTCCAGCCTCTAGCCAGTAGGTGGTGCTGTGTGTTCTTTTTTACCCTCTTTCATGCCTCACTCCTCACCCCTCCCTCCTCCGCAGTCAGGTCAGGATGTGTCTGCTTTGTTGACCCTACCAGTTATTCTTATTTTATTCTTATTTTATTTTAAAAAGTGGAAAAGAATGGGGGGAGAGCAATAATATCATTTTCTACCCGCTCTTAATTGTTGCCCTCCTGCTACCTATTCTCTGTGTTCTTCCTGCCCCGCCCATGTACCCTCCTGTCCTCCAGCCACCCCCACCACTACCCTCCACCTACTGTGATCCCTGCATCCACTGTCATCTACCAATACAAGATCCATGGCTCCTGATGGCAGGAGCATCAGCATAATGGTAAGTTTTCTGCAAGTAGTTTGAAACTTTGGAGAGCATGATGAGTAGTTACATGACTTCCTTCAGTATTGCAACCTGATCTTCATCACATTCCATTTCAGAGCCACGAGTCCAAGGGCAGCAGGATGCTTCCTGCCAGACCCGACACCCAAGGTATGCAGCGTCCCAGGTGACATTTAGGTAATATGTCTCACTGACCTTGTGTGTGTGTGTGAGAGAGAGAGAGTGTGTGTCTGTGTGGGGGGGGTTGTGTAGCAAAATTCCAGTTTTTCAACTGTGCTTCAAGCCCCGCTCCTCTTCCTCTTCTTCCTTTTTCCTCCCTCGTCACAGAAAACTTTTGTGGGCAGAACTCACTGGAGACAAGACCACAGGCCAGTGGAGAGTCACAATCACTATCAAGATACTGAAAAATACTTCTTCTTTTTTTAACATTTTTTTTTTGTGTATGTGTGTGAATTTGTATATGATTGATGTGTCATGTTTTCTTTGACATAGTTGGGGCGGGGGGGCGGGGGGTTGGAAACCGTATCCTCCTCAGTGGTGGGGATGCTGTGCTTGTGAGGGTTTTAGTCATGGCATTACTGGAAAGACTTGCAAAGAGTTGCAGGGTTGATTTGTTAAGTAGGGTGAGGTCCAGCAAGATATGTCTTGTAAGAAAAAAGACTAAACAGCCCCACTCAAGGCCTTTAGCCTTTAGCATGTCTTTAAAGACAATTTAGTAAGTCTTTAAAATGCATTATAATGCATACGACATGGTCACCAAGGTGGGTAGGGAGTTGGGGTTAACACCTGCTTCCGCCACTCCAAAACAGCTTCTTTTTGTCTTTGCAGGCAGGCTGTACTGTTATGGGAGGTGAAATGCAAAAATTATTTTTTTTCCAATGCTTTCTTTGCAATGCAATGTTTGCATTACAAAATCCTGCATGCAGCACCTTTTGGAGCTGTGTTTGCAGACCACCCCTCCCTGCCACACCGCCCTCTCCTCCACTTCTGCTTCAACCCACTCTCCCCCTGGAGAGAGCTCATCACTTTGTTCAGGACTGCTTTGTCCTCCCTTGCCATATCTTTCCTCTCAGCCTTCTCAAAGGACAGGGAGAAGTTGAGGGAGATGAGGAACCCAGGCAGCCCAGGGTAATCTCTTCAGCTACCTCAAGGTCTCTCCAGAATAAAGTGTATTCAGAAAGAACTTCTTTTCAACAAAATTCAAGAAAATTGTAATACCTCTTTCTTCTACACTAAGTATTGGCATGTCCTCATCAGATGGCTCCCAGATAAGCAGGGAGCTACTAATTAGCCAAGGCCATGGTTGCAAAAAGCACTATGCCCAGGGTTTTTGGAACATTGAAAAAACATTTATTTTTTTTCACAATAAATTGAATTGCAATCAATTCCATTTAGAAATCACAATAAAGCTAAAACACTATAGACTTTTTTTTTAGTCAACAAGGCTGTTGGTAGTCAATGGTGAATACATTTTTTTACACTACAGCCATTGCCAGCAAACGCAAAACAATAGGATAAAGCACCAATTCACAATATGCTCCCATGTCCCTTTAGTAATCCTTTGATATGATATGGATTGATGGAGGGCTGTATGGTGGAAGGGCAGGAGGTTGGGAGGGAGGGAGGGAGGGAGGCAGGCAGGCAGCCAGCCAGCCAGCCAGCCAGTCAGCCAGCCTGGTTACTGGCCCTTTCTGGTTACTGATGATGACTGTTAGCAGACGGAGGGAGGTCAAATGTTTGGCCAGTGCTAGTCTGCAGCCAGCATTTACTTGCAAGAAAGAAACCCACCCAAAAATCCTAGTTAGGGAGGGGCCTCCTCGGGTAGGGGCCCCCAGGCAAGTTCCCCCAGGGACCCCCTCAGGTGGGTGGTCAGGCATGCTAGTCTCCATTCCATTGTATCTTTGGAATCTTTGCTGGGCACAAAGCTTATGGATGAAGGGAGGTGGCCCTCAGGTGGGTGGTTGGGGGTGAGGTGTGGAGGGAGGAAGGCGTCCTGCACCCCCTTCCCAGTTACTGAATATGTCCCAACAGGAACATGGCTGGATCAAATGCGGGGGGGAGGGGCTCAGCCATGGTCTCAAAGGGGGCCCCCTCAGATGTGGGCCCCCAGGCATGTTTGGGGCCTCCTCAGGTATAGATGAATGGCCTGACTCAGCTGGCTAGCTGAGTTGGGCCATGCCATGCTACTCACTCTCTGTGGCACTTTATACCTTTCAAATCTTTTCTGGGCACAAAGCTTAGGGAGGAAGGGGGCCCCCAGGTGGGTGGGTGGGTGAGGGAGAGGGATGGAAGGAGGGAGGCATCCTGCACCCCCTTCCCAGTTACTGAACATGACCCACCCAGCAGGAACACAGTTGAATCAAGGTGGGGTGGGCAGTCATGGTTCCAAAGGGGGCACCATCAGGTGAGGGCCCCCAGGCACAGTTGGGGCCCCCTCAGGTACAGGTGCATGTATCCTTCTCAGGTGGGGGGGACTTTCTACTATTAATTATTTCTTTAAAATCTCCTTGTTCATTTAAAATTTATTTTAAATCTCCCTATTAAAATACAGAAACCTCCCTCAAGGAGACAGTGGTGGGTGGGTGTCAGAAGACATGTACCCAAATCCAAATTTGCTGGTTCATGGCCAATATACAGGTAGAGGGCAACTAGACTATATGAAGTGGGCCTGCAGAACTTGTGCAAATCGAGCTGGTGCTCAGGCCAAGACACCTCAGCTTCTGCCACTGCAGTGGTCCTCAGAAGGGTGAGAAGCAGGCAGTGTTTTCCCTTCCCAGCAAGAAGCTTTCCCCCAGCAATGATTCCAAAGTTCCAGGGGTGCAACAGAGAGGTGTAAGGCACAGGGCAAGTGCTGATGCTCATGCCAAAGCCAGTGAAGAAGCCTCAGCTTCTGGGCAAGAAGCAGGCAGTTTTTTATAAGGGTGCAATGGAGAGAGGTCAGGTCAGGACTTGTCTGCTTGGTTGCTGAGGTGTAAGGCAGAAGCCAAGTGGGCTGAAGAGCCTACTACCCAGAATGTGGAGGTCTTGGCCAGCAACCAAGAAGACCTCCACAATTCAGAGGAGAAACTCAAGCCACAGCTTCCTTAGTGGAAGTCATCCCTGCAACCCAAGCCCTCTGCCACTGCAGTGGTCATAGCTCATGATCACAGTTTGCTTTGTGGCCAGCAGTGATTCCAGAGATACAAGGCTACAACAGAGAGGTGTAAGATAGAGAGCAAGGCGGGCAAGGAACCTACTACTGAGACCGTGGAGGTCTCGGCCAGCAACCAAGAAGAAGGCTTTGTGGCCAACAATAATGACAAAGTTCCAAGGGTGCAAAAGCATGTGAAGAAGCCTCAGCTTCTGGGTGAGAAGTGGGCAGGTTTTTTATAAGGGTGCAACTGAGAGAGATCAGGTCAGGATGCATCTGCTTTAAGCTCAGGAGCATAGCTTGCTTTGTTGTCAGCAGTGGTTGAAAAGTTATGAGGCTACAATGGAGAGGTAGGTGCAGAGGTGGGCAAGTAAATTGAAGAGCCCACAGGCCTGGGCCTACTACCTGGACCCCAGAAGGGAATTTGCCGGAGATCTTGGCCAGCAACCAAGAAGAAACCCTAGTGCAGGTTGTTACCAAATTTGCCCATTACTTTGGGGTGTGCTCATTTATTAGGGATAGTTTCTAGGGTCTTGGTGATTCTGTCAATGTGCTGCTTGTGTTACTATACGGAGCTGTATTTCTCCCTTCTGCAAGCCCTCACCCCCAATGGAGCTATCTTGCAGGACTCAATCTCAATGGGACTGGGTTCCTCCAGTCACCAAATCAGTCATACACACAAACACACACAAATTAACATGACACGCCTGACCTGGCCGGGCTGATCAGCATGGACAGGCTGACACCCTCATATGCCAAGAATCAGTTCATAAGAGCAACAATAAAATGCAGTCAGACACAAGCACACAGGTAAACAGAATCCCTCTGAATCCGGCTGGGTGTCCAGCTGACACCCTCATGGGCCAGCATTCAGTTCATAAGGGCACGTCTGAGTCAAACTGGGTCAATCAGCCTGTACAAGCTGATCCCCTTATGTGTTTCAAACTCAGCACGTCCCAATCTTTGGCCTCTTGATGAGCAGACCCCACAATAATTTGGGCTTCACAGGGATCTTTAGCATAGGTAAAAGAAGCGTTGCTGCAGAGCACGGGAGGAAAGAGAAGCAGAGAAGGAAAAATATACCCAATTACTACCAGTTTGACTATAAAAGTTATTTATTGCTAAGCATATGAAATATATAATAGTACTAGTAGTAATAGACATGCAAAAGAAAAACAAACACCAACAATGACAATACTACCCTGGTTTCACTAAGTATTTGGGGAAACTTAGCTCAAGCTTAACTGATACAGTTCAGGTTCAGAAGTTTATGCCTAGAAAGAAGACAGAGAACGCTGGGATCTCACCTAGTCCACGGTACTCAGGCTGCAAAGCTGACAGGCACAGTCTGTAGCACAGTCCTTGAAGGGAGAGATGATCTGTTCTTCCAGCGTCCCAAGAACGACAGGGGATGGTGTCAGCACAGGGGTTTTCTTCTTCTCCTTCTTTCCTCCTGCTTCTACTTCTTTTCCTTCCTTTTCCTCTTCCTCTTCTCCCTCTAGCAGCACACACACTTACAGATTTTTATACCCTCAGTTTAGCTGCTTCGAAGCACCCTCAGTAGTGTAAATCATTGTCTTTTCTATTGACAAGGGGTTATCTGGTTTGGACCATCTCAGGAAACTGATTGATAATCAGGAAACACTTAAGATTAGGGAGTAACCCAAATACTTGGGAGCCAGCTTGAAATTCCTATGGGTGGCAGATATACTGATGGGATATCTCATGGTTTCTTCAGGAACAATAGATAGCTTGCAGCATCAGGATTTTGGATTTTTACTTGTTGTGCACAAGCCTCAGCTTAGCATGACTTTTCCAGATCTTACTATAGTCTTTTAACAGACTTAAAGCAATTATTGGGGTGCTCATAACCTTTTGTGGAGAGGACTCCCACCAGTCGTCTCGGGAAAGATATGACAACTTTTGGGATTAGGGCTCCAGCAGGCTGGATGCTATGATGAACCCTTAACCATTGTTCAAATGTTGCCCATACCCCCTCTGACTCGGTCTCTTGCCTCAGCATTCCCTAACCCGGCAACCGAGTTTTAGTCAATCAAGTTTAAATAGGCCTCCCATAGTGGGACCGGGGAATGTACGGCCCGAGATGCCTATTAAACTTAGAGCTGTGTGTGTGTGTCTGGGGGGGGAAAAGTCCTTAGCAAATCCAGATTAGAACTGGTCTGATAAATGCTGAGCTGGATGTGTGTGAACATGGGTTGATTAACATTGGAAGCACAGATTCCCCATCATGCAGCGCTCTCCTGCTTCTCTGGTCCCAGAATTCACTGCAGTCTCTGCTTCAGGCTTTCTGTTTTCCATCTCTCATGTAAATGAGACCTAGGGCAGTTGATTCACTCTTGTCACCCTTATCTGGTGAGGGTCTTAGGTGCGTCTCTCACTGCATCTTAATCAGTTTCATTTAGGTAGAGGAGGGGAGGGGGGGGGTGAGTCCTTTGTGAGTCAGACAGACTGCATCCTGTACCAGGGTTGCCCAAGAATACAGAGCTGAGACGTAACAAGGTTTACTAGGTTTCAGACCTGAGGAAAGCACTTCTTGCAGGGCAGGAAATTCAGAAAAAGTAACTGTCACCAGGGAGGTGGGGCGGGGGAAAATACAGTCCTTTTATGAGTGTGTGTGTGTCTGTGTGCCTGTTTTGATTATTTGGTTGATTGTTGTGTGTATTTGGACTGTATTTGGTTGATTATTATTTGATTGATTATTTAAACAGCCATGCAGGAGAAGGCATGAGGGAGGGAAGCAGGGCCTTTGCCGAATCTTAGCTTTCACGTTTTGGAAAAACTAAAATCTAAAATCCTCATAGACTACTGTAGAAAAAATTATTTTTAAAGGTACACGTGATACAGTAGTCTGTGAAAAAAAATTCTCTATTTAGAAAATGTAGAGATTTCCTTCCATGAAGGACATTCAGAGAAACTGACTGATTGATTATTAGATTGATGGTGTGTGTGTCTGTGTGTGTGTGTTTGTAAGGGCCACCAAGCAGCAGTCATTTTCTGAGACATAGCGAGTAACCATGAAGGAAGTGCTAGGGAGGGAGTATGCCAGAGCATCACCCTGGCTGCTAAGAGCCCCAGCCATGGGACAAGAGGGAGCTGGAGGTCTTGGCCAGCAACCAAGAAGAAACCCTCTGCATTTGGGGCCAGCAACAATCTTCTAATTACAATTCCATGATATGCTGTTTAGCAAACAGGCCACCAACCAGGAGGAGGGCGAGAATAATATGAAATGGATCTGCAGAACTTGTGCAATTCTTACCATACTCAAGCTGATGCTCCAGCCAAAGCCTGTGAAGAAAGCCTCCACAATTCAAGTATTACACAAAGAAGAAGTCTTAACAGTACTTGTGGCCAGCAACCAGGAGGAGGAAGTAAGACAAGTTCAGGAACCAGGAGGTGGGTGTGAAGAGGCACTGGCTGGGAGGGGAATGCTTGCTGTGGGGAATGAGAGTGAACATGGGAAAGAAGCAGCAAAAGGAGAGTGCCACTTCCGGAGAAGCTGCTCCTTTAAGAGAGAACAAACCTGGGAAGGGAGGAGTGGGACACTGAGTGAAAAGCTGGGAGCGAAAAGAAATTAAGATTGCTGGAGGGGAGAGAACCCTGAACCTTAATAGAGGGAAATGACTTGACTGGGTCTTGTTAAGCATGGAGTTGACCGAGAAGGTTCATCTTCAAAAAAAAAAAAAAAAGGGGGTGGAGGAAGGCTCCAAACAGTGAAGGAACTTCAGCTGAGGCAGTGGTGAGAAAAGAAAAGCATTTACCTTACAAGTCAAAACAAAAATTGTGTTTCTCATTTCCTTTATTGTGTTTGGATATATGGTAGACTCAATTGGACTCTAGCTGGTTTCATGGGTGAGAGAGCCAAGGGATGGGTGAGAGAGCCAAGGGATATATATATTGTTTCATTGTTTAGTTCCACTGTTAAGCTTCAATTAACCTAAACTGGATATTATGGGAGAGTGGAGCAAGTCAGCCGAAGATTTTCAAAGTAAAAAATGAAGATGTACCTGAACAATATACAATAACCACAGTCTGTCTAACTGTGGGTTGGTCATAGATATAAAGACCAACAACAATTTTTTTAAAAAGTTATTAACCTAAATAAGATTGTGATTCAATCAATGACTTAAATTTTTGAGTGTCGTCTAGAACAGATTCAAGAGAGGTTGTGGCCCAGAAAATCCCCATGTAGATTGCCAGTGACTGACTGTGGCAGAAAAGGAGTTACACTTCCGAACTAATAACATCAAAAATAAACAAGACGTGGCAGGCGAAAGTCAGAATATACCACAGGAACCCAAACATGGGCAATCATAGAAAAAGGGGCTAAAGCTTGAACCACCACAGTATACATTTCCTTCACCACCCTGCCTCCCGCTCAGTATCTGCTTTTGCATGGTAAGGAATCAAACTGTAATTTTATATTTAACAGAAATATATAGAACATACATTGGCCACATATATAGGGTGGAATTGAACCGTTACAATCATGAATCCTGAAGGAAGTGTTGTCATGCTCTTCATTTTCTCTTTCTTTCTTCCTTTCTCTTTCTGCCTCTTGTCACACCAGCAGGGATGGATCAGCCTGTGGCTAGCAGTGAAAAGGGATGTAAAAACCAGAGGGAGGGAGGTTTAAAAGAGCATAGGAATTTGTATTGGTGCCTCTTGTGCACCTCAAGTACCTTCCTTCACATCCCTAAAATTCCATCAGACCCATTTACAATAAATTTGAATTAAATAATGCATGCCCCTCCAATCAGAGCTGACCCATGTTATGCCACAGTGCAGGGCCTTGAGCAAATTAAACACCGCCTCCTGATGCAGAGCCAATCCTGCGTGCCACAGTGGTGCCAGCAAGGAAGGGGAGTTGATGAGCATTGGATGCAAGGCCAATGGCGGCACTGAGGAGTCAACCCATCCACTCTGCCCATCTCTGAGGGGACCCGAAAGCGCTGTGCCCGGGGCGGTTGCTTGTACTTGCACCCCCCTACGGATGACTCTCAGGGTACAGACAAGTGTCAGGTGTCACTTACCAAAGGTGGCGTGTATCACATTGCCATGTCCACTTTCAAGTTGCACATTGCACAGGCATCAAATAGCAGTTGAAGCTTCACTGCACCCCACTTGATCACCCTGCGGTCTTCTCAAACCCTGCATTCACATTGCTGTGCCCCCCAGGGGCAAGACTTGTTACTAGAATAAGTCCTTCTCTGCCCCTGCTGTGCTGTCATCCCTCAACCTCCTCAAACCTCCCCTGTCAATACAATGAACACATAACCCGACCTCTGCTTCCCTAATTTATAATGCTTGAGTGGGGCAACCTCCTCCCTCCGGCAGCCTCATTTTGATATGGAAAAAAAAACAGAGAGTCTGGCGCCGGGCTGGAAAAGAGTGCAAAAAGAAGGTAGAAAAGTTTGCATGTCCCTGGGTTTGTTTGCAAGCAAAGCAGGTCAAGGAAGGCTTGTGAAGGGTGAGCCAAAAAAGAGCATGAAGACAATGTGGCCCTGAGTTTGCAAAGTGGCTGGTGGCTTTCCAAAAAGCAAGCCAGGCTGGCTGCTGGAGGGGTGACACACCCAGGTAGCCCCCTTGTTTACCTCTGGAGCCCCGCTGTGTACTTGTGCAAGAGAGATTGTGTTTGTGTGCAAGCAAAGCTGCAAACCCCAGGGCGCCGCTTGGATGTAATTCTCAGCTTGTCTTGCACAGAGGCAAAAGGAGTGGATAACTTTTAGCCTGGAAAAGCAGAGGCTCAGGGGTGATCTGATGGCCACCTATAAGTTTATCAGGGGTGACCACCAGTATCTGGGGGAAGGTTTGTTCACCAGAGCGCCCCAAGGGATGACGACTAGGTCAAACAGTCATAAACTACTACAAGACTGTTTCAGGCTGGACATAAGGAAGAATTTCTTTACTGTCCGAGCCCCCAAGGTCAGCCCCCAAGGTCTGGAACAGCCTGCTGCCGGAGGTGGTTCAAGCGCCTACATTGAACACCTTCAAGAGCAAACTGGATGCTTATCTTGCTGGGATCCTATGACCCCAGCTGACTTCCTGCCCTTTGGGCAGGGGGCTGGACTCAATGATCTTCTGAGGTCCCTTCCAGCCCTAATGTCTATGAAATCTATGAAACTTTTCCCTTTTGGGTGTCGTACCTGTTAGGGTGACAATAATTTGGATTATTAGGGAGCACTGGATTTGCAGCTGAATACAAGGCATGACCTGTGGCCTAGCAAAGCTGCTCACCACAAGGCAAAATGATAGCTAAGCCAGCCATTTGCTTATGCTAAGTAACCATTGTAACTGTGTCAACCATTTTCTGAGGGAAAAGCAGCAAGTGAATCTGTGTGAGTCTGTGTGCAGTGAACCAGCTATAACAAGGAATGAGATAAGATAAAGGGGCCCAAAAAGTTAGATGATACAACCTGAAACAGAAAAACAGACTGGAATGTGGAAAACAATGCATAATTGGTAACAGAATCCATAGATTCATAGATTCATAGATGCTAGGGTCGGAAGGGACCTCAATAGATCATTGAGTCCGACCCCCTGCATAGGCAGGGAAAAGTGCTGGGTCTAGATGACCCCAGCTAGACGCTTATCTAACCTCCTCTTGAAGACCCCCAGGGTAGGGGAGAGCACCACCTCCCTTGGGAGCCCATTCCAGACCTTGAACTTATAGGCAGCCACAAGGTCGCCTCTCAACCTTCTCTTGCGGAGGCTGAAGAGGTCCAGGTGCCCTAGTCTCTCTTCATAGGGCTCGGCGTGCAAGCCCTTAACCATATGTGTGGCCCTTCTCTGGACCCTCTCCAGGTTATCCACATCCCTCTTGAAGTGCGGCGCCCAAAATTGCACACAGTATTCCAACTGCGGTCTGACCAGCGCCCGATAGAGGGGATTATCACCTCCTTGGTTCCAGGATGAACATATCATAGAATCATAGAAGTAGGGTCGGAAGGAACCTTGTAGATCTTCAAGTCCGACCCCCTGCCTGGGCAGGAGGAAAACTGGGCTCAAATGACCCCAGCCAGGTAGGCATCGAGCCGCTTCTTAAAGACCCCCAGGGTAGGAGCCAGCACCACTTCCCTTGGAAGTTGGTTCCAGATCCTAGCCGCCCTAATTGTGAAGTAGTTCTTACGGATGTCCAATCTAAACCTACTCTCCAACAACTTGTGGCCGTTATTCCTTGTTATCCCGGGGGGCGCTAGGGGAAACAAGGTCTCCCCCAAACCCTTCTGGTCCCCCCCTAGTGAGTTTATAGATGGTCACCAGGTCCCCCCTCAGCTTTCTCTTGTCAAGGCTGAACAGGTTCAGGTCCCGTAGCCTCTCATTGTAGGGTCTGCCCTGCTGTCCCCGGATCATGCGGATGGCCCTCCTCTGGACCCTCTTAACGTTGTCCACATCCCTCTTGCAGTGGGGTGCCCAGAACTGGACACTGTATTCTAGCTGTGGCCTGACCAGTGTCAAGTAGAGGAGGAGGATCACCTCTGTGGCCCTACTTGAGATGCACCTGTGGATGCACGATAAGGTCCGGTTAGCCCTGCTGACCGTGACCTTGCATTGTCGGCCCATGTTCATCTTGGAGTCAATGATGACTCCAAGATCCCTTTCTGCCTCCGTGCTCTCAAGAAGGAAGTTTCCAATCTTATAAGTGTGCTGCTGGTTACTACTGCCCAAGTGCAGCACCCTGCACTTGTCCGTATTGAAACGCATCCTGTTTTTGTTAACCCACCCTTGCAACCTATCCAGGTCTTTCTGCAGTCTTTCCCTCCCTACTAACGTGCCCACCTCACCCCAAATTTTGGTATCATCAGCAAATTTGAACAGGTTGCTTTTCACCCCATCATCCAAATCGCTGATAAAGAACTTGAACAGTGAGGGCCCAAGGACCGAGCCCTGGGGGACTCCGCTGCCCACTTCCCCCCAGGTCGAATATGACCCGTCCACCACCACCCTCTGAGTACAACCCTTCAGCCAATTAGCAATCCATCTGACCGTGTAGTCATCGATGCCACAGTCGCCTAGTTTTTTAATGAGGATGGGGTGGGAGACAGTGTCAAAGGCCTTGCTGAAGTCCAGAAAGACTACATCCACGGTGACACCAGCATCCAATGCTTTTGTGACCTGATCGTAAAAGGCAATCAGGTTGGTCTGACATGACCTGCCCCTAATGAAACCATGCTGGTTGCCCTTGAGCCTCATCCCCAATGCCGGCCCATCACAGATGTGCTCCTTGATGATCTTCTCAAAGAGTTTCCCCAGGACTGAGGATTAAGGTAAGACTGACTCTCAACGAGTTTCCCCAGGATTGAGGATATGCAAAAAGGTGAATGGTGATTGCTGAAGAAGCCTGCAGAAGCTTCTAGGTTTTGGTCAAAGTCTGCCCATTGACCAAAGAAAAGGAGTCAAGGTCTTAGACATGCGTTTATAGCAAGAAGTCATGTAAATTAATGGAATGTATAGGCAATTCCATGCTAATGAAGCAAACAGTAAACAGAAGTGGAGCTTGAGATGGGAGGAGAAATGGGTGGAACATAGGAGGAGCGAGGGTAGAATAAATGTTAATAAACATGAACCAAAGTGTATAAATGTGGAAAAAACTATTGTTCATTGCTGCTCCCCATATTCTGTTGGTGTGGGAGCTCGCCCAAAGCTGTCACCATTCTGAATAAAGCTGTTGTGAGCAATGTGTGCTGGTGTTTGCTCCCTGCTCTGCTCTGGCTAATGAGTAACAGGATCCGGACAGTCGTCTCCCTAGTCATTGGGAAATGCATGGAGTCGGGGTCTAACAGCACCCATTTATTTAGGTAGTTCTGCACACTCTGAAAGGCATCCTTGAAAGTGTCATGTGAACTCTGCAATTCAGCACAGGACTCCTTGACCACATCTTTCAAATTCTTCATGGTGTCTCGCACTTGCTCGAGGATGGCATCCTCCTTATGCAGGGTCTCATGGAGTTTGGCCCACCAGGCATCTTTGCATTGCACCCTGATTACTCAAGTAAGGTTTCACAGGATCATATCTGCTTGCTGTGAAAATCTCTGCAGCACTCTGCTGAAGTGCAAGCAGGGTGCCATTCCCAGTGGCCACGGGTCACAGTGGCTGATAAACAAACAAAAAAAATGTTTGCCTTCCCCCCAAGAGGAGGAAAGTACACATCCCCACCCCCACAAAATGCCAGCAGGCATGGAACAGACTCTGCAATACTGGGGCACCACTTGTGCTGCTCAAAACTTATGAGTTCTCACTGCTCTGGGAATAGGTCCATGGCTGCCACTGCTAGCTGCAAAAAATTAAAGCAAATAATTACCTGTCGAACCCAGCCTGCACCACCACCGAAAGAACATGGCTACCCACCTACAGTAACAGTTGCCTGGCTGTGACAAGAGGCACATTAGAAAAGACTTACCCAGTCCAGCATGTTCTTGTGTCTTGGTAAAAGATGATGTATCATATCAGCTGCATGGGTTTCCTCATGACCCTCCACTTCATCATCTGTACTACTCCATGGAACAGAGGGGCTAAGTGGCACTAACTGTAAGGTGACCAATGGTTCTTCCTGGCACTCATGGTCATCAGTGAACAGAGAGCAATCTCCAAACAGCTGAGACATACTCATGGTTCCACCATGAGGAGGGGCTGCTGCTGCCTCCTCCTCCACCTCCAGCCCAACTCTGGTGCTGAGAGTCTCCAAACCTGGGTTGTCATCCACATCCTTGGAGAGAATGATGGACAGCTTGTCATAGAAGGGGGCAATTGTTCGACCTGCCCCAGAAGAGAGTTTGCATCTTTGTAAAATGCTGATCTCAGGGTCTTGATCTTGCACCAGACCTGGGTCTAGTCATGATTGTGCCTTCGTGCCTGCATGCCTTTTTCAATCTCAACATAAAAAGGCTTATTCCTCCTACTTTCCAGCCTGTCTATGATACTTTGCTCCAACCAAAAGTCTATTAAGTCCTCCAGTTCTTCCCAGGTCCAGTTGGGTCCACAGGTGTTGGAGGTATCAGCCTCCTGGGGCATCAGCTCCATACTGCTGGCCTTGGCTTTCTGAGACATGGTGAAGCAGTTCATGGTCAACAGCACAAGTGATTTATGAAAGGGGCTGGCAAATTTGCGGGGGGGGCACCTTTATACTCAGACTGTGCTTGCATGAGGGTCTAGGAAAATTCCAAGGATTGTGAAGTAATTACCTGTAAGTATCAAAACACCCAAAGGTGATGAAGCACCCAGTTAACAACAACAAAGATGGTGTAAATAAGGCCATTGTACTTTGGGATGGCTGCTCAATGGACCAGAACATTGCAATAGTTGATACCTACCTGTCTGCTTGTGCAAAATAATTTTATTACAGAAGCACAGCCTGATTTCCCTTAAAGTGGTAAAAGTTTTGAGTAGCTAGGAGAGGAGTCAGCAAAACATTTTTTGTTTGTAAGTTTGATTACATCAAGACACCAGTGGCTGTAAAGCTCAGGATGAAAGGATGAAAGGATGTGCAAAGTCCCAATGCCCAGAGATGCTGGGGTGAAGTGTTGAAAAAGCAGCTAGACCAAGCTCCAGACTAACCACACAGTCCCTGCCCCTTGCTTGTTGCAGATGGGTGAAAGGCTGCTGCTGACGGAGAGAGGCAAAATGGAGAACAAGGGTGAAATACGTGACATGATGGAGAACATGGAGCAGGAGGAGGAGGAGGTGGCAGTACTGTTTCTGCAAATACTGTTTACCTGGGGATTACTGCTGGAATGCTTGGGAAGGATAGGAACTGTGCTACAGTGTTCAGTGGCTGTCTCTAGTGGGTTATGGAATAGAGAAAATCCCACACAATTTACTGATTCGTTTTGATGCACTGGCTGGGGGAGTAGTTAGCTGATTGCACGATTTCACAATGATTACACACTTAATTCATACAACACAATTTTATTTTAAAACTCTTTGCTACGTATATAACACTGCTTAGCTTTAAGAAACACCACAAACATTAAAAACACAATAATTAAACAATGCTCCGAATGCACTTCCTTCCCAAACAATACTATAAGAATTAGTGTTACAAAAACAACTACAATTACAACTAAAAGTTAAATTTGAATCAATACTGTTATTTTTCATAATATACTTACAATCCTAGAATATCGAGAAGCCAAATACCAAAATATGGTTTCATTCCTCAGTAGTACGATTTAATGGGTTGGCCTCAGTAGTACGGTTCAATAGGCTGGCCTCAGCAATACGATTCAATGAGCTGGGCTCAGCAGTGATAGGACTAAGTCCCCTTCCTTCAGTCCCTTTCGGGCGCTCCGCGGCTTCAGCGTGAACTAAGAGATTCGTGTTCACGGAGAGGTTGGGTCAGGTGATCAATCTGGTCCGGGCTACACTTGCGATTCTTCCTTCGTTGTTCTGCAAGTGAAGTCACCTCCAAATTGGGCCAGTAAGTTACAGGTTTTTATTGAGTGAGCTGCCGTCAGTGGGCTCCTCCTACTCAATTTGTCACTACTCCCAAATTTGGGCTCGGATCTTACTCAACAGAAATTACCTTTCTTGAGCATTTTAAATTACTCTTGGGGAGACTTCTTCCATATCACTGTAAATACCTTTTTTTTTTACCAGTCTGGTTAAAAGTCCCTAGGCTTTGATGTCTCGGAACTCAGGATATTTGCTTTCTTTGTAAAAGACTTCTAAAGATTAACATTTAAATTAAGCGAAGTCAGGACATTTTTTACGTAGACCCAAAACAATGAGCTAGATAAGGAGATAAATCCTATCTTCTTCCTGAAACTGGCTAATGGGCAACCTTTACAAACATTCAAACTATTTCATTCAATATGACAGTGGCAAGTTGTGGTACTTCTTTAACATCAATGACAATAATAAGAAGATACAACAGGTACTCAGGGGGCTTGGCATACACACAGCAAAGTGAACAAATGGAATTTGACCAGGCTCTGCTGAGCAACCTGAGGAGGAGGACCAGAATCCATACAGTGTGGGCCCATGAGAGCAGCTTGGACTGGTGGGAGTGAATCATGCTGACTACTTGGAAGGAGCAGCAGTGGCTGGAGATGTTCCGAATGAAAAGGAAGACATTCTATCATATCATCTCAATGCTGGGGCCACACATCACGAGGCAGGACACAAACATGCATTGGGCCATCCCACCAGACAAGAGGGTTGCAATGGCCATCATGAAATTGGCGAGCCCATCCAGCCTCCATTCCATTGCCACCCAGTTTGCAACTTGTGAGGTATGCCAGCTGCTTAAGGAGATAGCTGCAAAGAAAATTATTGACCTGAAGAATCCGCAGGAAGTCATAGATGGCTTTAATGAGAAGGGGTTCCCCAAACTGTGTAGGGGCTTTAGACAGCACTCACATCCCAGTGCTGTGCCCTGCGGGGAGGGGGAAGGCTTTCACAAACAGGAAAGGATATGCCTCTGTGATCCTGTAAGCTCCGGTGGACCACCGGGGCTGGTACATGAACATTTTTACCAGCTGAACTGGCAGTGCACATGATGCGTGCATGTTCAGAAACTCCCCTCTGCCTGCCCTCATGGAGAAAGGACACTATGCGGGGCCACTGTTCCCCTGGTTATATTACTGGATGCTGCCTACCCCCTAAAGCCCTGGCTCATGAAGCCTTTTGGAGGGAGCATTACCGACCCGCAAAAGCTGACTTTCAACTACCACCCCAGCAGCTGCAGGATGGCCCTGGAATGGGTGTTCAGCTGACTGAAAAGACAATGGAGGGCACTTATGTGCCGGCTCAACATGGATCAAGAAAATATAACAGCCTTTATTGTGGCAGCCCGCATGCTGCACAATAGGCTGGTCGAGCGGCCCTTGTGCATGATTGTCCAGAAGGATATATTGCTGACAACAACAGATTGACGGTGTACCTGGACAGGGAATAGGAAGGTTCCAATGGGAGCCCCCACTGGAAACTGTACGAAGATCAGTGAGCTTGGGCATGCTGGGAAATGTAGTCCAGAAAAAAATGTAAAAAAAAAATCCAGAAGAGCTCACCACCTACAACATCAACAGCAATCACCAATTAACCGAGTGGCAACAAACACCCACCCAGCTGCCCGCCTACCCGCTACTCTTATGAAATAGCAGTTATTAAGCAGCTATAGTTAATTTAAAAAAACCCTGTATATTTGTAGTATGGTGGGATGGGAAGGGAAGGGAAGGGAAAGGAACAGGACAGGAGGATTCACGTGACTTGTCTGTGGGATTGGGATGGGGTCTTTGGGATGGCATACTGATGGAGAAAGACCAGACCAAACGACCACTTCTGATTATTGTTCTAAACAGAAAGAAAAGATAAGTCTTTTAAAGCATTTGAAACTCACAAAAGAGACTAGAAATAAAGTCCAATAGTATGAAGGCATGACAACTAGTAATGTAACTAGGGTAGGGCAAGCAGGGTACCTTACCCGCCCCCCATCCCTCCGTGCTCTGGGAGCCTTTGCTGTGGCAGATACAGCCCTGCACTGCCTAACCAGACAAGCTGGGCAGCCCTGTACTCCATATTGTATGGGGCTGCCCTGAGGCTGCTACAGCTTACAGACAGGCTTCCTGCACACTAGCTGCAGCAGTCTCATGGCATAGACTCTCCAGGGGTTGTCCCTGGTACCCTGTTCTCTGCCACCTGCACCTGCACCACTACTGGGCATGGAGCTGCACCTCCCATAGCAAATTCCCATAAAGGGGTGCCACTTAGCTCAACCCTCCCAGTGCATTATGGGACACGGGGCTTCCTGACTTTTATGGCTAAGCACTGCAGGGCTACACCTGTAGCAAAGGCTCCTGGGGAGGCAGGGACAGTCTGGTTCCCTCTGCTAAACCTGCTCCTCAGCTGCATCAGCACAACCACATGCTAGTACAACTGAAGGAACTGCTACCTGAGTGCAGAGAGAGCTGGGGAAAGTAAGAATCTTTGCCCCACTCTCCAGTGTTTGGCACACTGCCCAGGGCACTGCAGGAGCTGACCGCTTCCGCTGTCTGCTGCTCTTTCTGATTATCTAATGGTTAGTAGCACCTTGGTTGCTATGTTTCAGAAGCAGCACATGTTAATAGATGAGTTCTTCGGTCTATGCTGGCTTCTGCCTTGGCAGTTGGAAAGGGAAACCAGCTGGTACTAATGTGAAGTGTTGCTGCTACTCTCTGAAAAAGTAGTGTGTGACGGGCTGGCTGGGAGTGACTTAGCCCCGGGGTTTTGAAAAGCAAAGAGATGATTGGAGGACTTGGGATTCCCTTTCCTCACCAATCAGGCCCCAGAGACTTACCCTCCATGTTCCCTGATTGGCCCCTTGGGTCACCTGGAGGGGGATAAAAGGGACAGCGTGGCTGACTCAGGGTAGACCAGCGAGGGACCACAAGGAAGAAGCTTCAAAGAGCTGGCAAGAACTGAGCCAACAGGGCGGGAACAGTTGCCCCAGAAGAGCCTGAAGGAGTGGGACCTTCAGGCAGCACTGGGATCCTCAGCAGCGTGGTGTGTAGCCAGCAGGAGAGGCTCCCACTGGGTTCCAGGATCGCCTATGAGAGGCTGTGGCCAGCAGGAGAGGCTCCCCAGCTCCAGCAAGGATCTGAGCAGCGACCTGAGAGGTTCCCAGCTCTGCTTCCAGCTCCTCCAATCAGAGTCCAGGTAGCTCGATGTGAGGCCTGGGCTCCAGGAAGGTCAAGACCCCTAGCAACTTAAAGTGCTATCAGCACTGATGGCTGTGTGGCAGAGTTTCTGCCTGCCATGTGGGAGCTTTGAGTTCAAGTCCCAGTTCTGGTGACTTGGAGTGAATGATCTAATAGGGGGAGATTCCTCTTGCAGTGGAAAGAGGCCATTGTGTTTCTCCTGTTTCTTCCCCTCCATGTACCTAGGCCCTATATTCCTTGTCATTTGATATTTTGTGCCTTTTATATTTCACCAACCAGTATTGTTTGTTCTGCTGTTTGTGTTTTACACTTTGGTTAACCCTGTCTTTTGTCAACTGGATGAATATGTCTATGATTATAAGTGTGTAACATTTGTTGAATCCTGCCCCTTCAGGGCATTGTAGTGTCCCCTATACCCCCCTGGTTTATACTGATTATGTTCCCAATATTGTTCCCTCATTAAAAGTTATCTGGCTAAGGCCCATTGGTGGTCTGGCTCTGCTCTATAGGGAGAGGAGAGTCCCTACACCTCCCACAGCGCTTGTGCACCTGCTTCAATCCCTTCAATTGGAGAGGGGTACCTCTTGGGGTACCGCCCAGATTACAGCAGGGGGTAAGCAGATGTTCTCCCAGATCCTGATGTACTCCCCTTATGTACTTATAGGCAGCCACCAGGTCCCCCCTGAGCCTGCACTTTTCTAGCCTGAAGAGTCCCATGGCTCTCAGCCTCTCTTCATAAGGCCTATTCTCTTACCCTCTGATCATGCTCATGGCTCTCCTTTGGACTCTCTCAAGCTTCTCAACATCCTTCTTGAATTATGGAGCCCAGAATTGGACTGGGCTCCAGCTGCAGCCTCACCAAGGCTGAATACAGTGGGAGGATGATGTCCTGAGATTTACTTGAGAAGCATCTATGGATGCAAGCCAGAGTTGGGTTAGCTTTACCAGCTGCAACATCGCATTGGTGGCTCATGTTCATCTTGTGGTCAGTCATGACCCCCAAGTCTCTTCCAGTACTGGTGCTAGCAAGTGTAGTACTGCTGAGCCTATAAGTACCCTGCAGGGTTTTTTTTCCTGAGGTGGAGTACCTTACATTTATTGGTATTGAATGTCATCGGGTTTGTATCTGCCCACCTACTAAGTTTATCCAAGTCAGCCTGGCCTCAGATGTGGACACTGTGCCTCACTATGCCTCAAAGTTTAGTGTCATCGGTGAACTTAGCCAGTGTGCTTCTGACACCAATGTCCACTTTGCTGATAAAGATGTTAAAGAGAACCAGTCCAAAGACAGAGCTTTGGGGGACACCACTGGTCACGGAGCACCATAATGATTTGCTACCATTGACCACTACTTTCTAGGTCCGACCTCGGAGCCAATTTCCCAGCCATCGGACTGTGGTGTAGCCAAGGCCACAGTTGGCCAATTTTTCCATGAGGAGGTCATGGGACACCAGATCAAAGGCTTTTTTAAAGTCCAGATATATGATGTCAATGTCGTCTCCCTTGTCCAGGTGATATGTCACCTGGTCATAGAAGGAGATGATATTGGTCAGGCAAACCAATGACAAACTCGTGCTGGCTGTCCCTCAGGATGTTGCCCTCATCCAGCTTACTAAGAAAGATCTCTTTGATAATTTTCTCCAGAATTGAGAAATCATTTTTTAAAATCTCATTATGCTTCAGCTGTTAGAGCTGTGGGAAATATGAATAAAAGTGGCAGAGGACTGAATTAAAGAATCCCCTGTGGCACAATTGTGGCAGCAGTTGAAGAGAGAAAAAACATAGATATTATGCCTAGGTAAACCCAGAAAAGTTCTTGGTTTTGGATTCAAGCTCAACTGAATCTCAACTATTGTGAAGAACTGAAAACTCACAAATTTCCTTGTAAGGAAAGTTTTCTGGTCAGGAATTGTGGAGTTTACAATTGTCAAATCTCTGATGGTCAGTCAATCTACTTCCCTGCCTTGTAGAATCCCACTGTACATTTTCTGTGTTTTAACCTCATCTGTTCTCATGAAACCATAACCATTGTTGTTCTCATGAGGTAACTAGTTACCCCTCATTTCAACATTATTCGTCTCATGGGGTAACACCCGCATGAACAAAATGGAACCAGTGACAACAGTATAAATGTACCAAAAATTATTTATTAAACATACAGATTGATTGAAAGAGTATTTATGATCATTTGAACCAAAAATATTATTTATCTAGATCTCTGAACAAAATGTAAACCTTTTTAGAGTTTCAAAACGTGAACGAACAATTTACTAAGTCTGCAGTTCACACTGTTTTAAAACTAGCAATTACTTCCAAAAACATTTCCTTACTGTTTTAACTAAATATTGCATTCCTCACAAAGTAGCAGTGATATACTGTGATGCACACAAGTAAATCATTTACAATCTTCACATAATTTCTGGGTTTTGTGGTCATCTGTCCTTGGAAAAAAAGCGCAATCTCTACTCATGCTTGTAGAAGGTTCTACTGGGGTGTGTTGTTGCAATTTGTAATTTACGGCAGTCATACCAGACTTGACAGATTTAAACAAATTACGTGTATCCATCATTCTATGTTTTCAACTGTTCTCCAATCTCCTCGAAAAAATAGCTTAGTCTTCTTAAATGTAATGTTTGCTTTCAGTTTGCGTTGTGGCCTAGCCAAATGATGAAACTGGCAATGGCAGCCAGATCCAGCATATTTAAAAATAGTGTCATTGGCCACCTGCAGGTGGTCATACGAACTAAGTCCCACCCTTGTTTTTATTGTAGTCATGGATGATGTCCAGCTTTCTTGCTCTTCACCCACTGACAGGTGATGGTGCATGCTAGACAGCAACAGCACAACTTTGGACTTCTTTGAAACATAGGAAAATAGGGTGAGTTCCCTATCAAAAGCAAAAATGGATTTAAAACTTTCCCTTCTTCAATTTGCTTGCATTTTGTTTGGGATATTGGCCTTAATTTTCCAAATCGTACTCACATAGGACATGTCTTTCTGTAGCAGTCTTTCTGCCAGGTCAGTACTTCTAAAGAAATACAAGTACAATATCTCATCTTGTACCAGGAATGAACCAGTTTTTCAATGACCTAGGTACAAAAATTACCTTGGTGTGAAGGAGAGAGAGAGTAAACAAAAGCCCCAAGGTGTCTTACATGCTGGGCATGGGAGGTCAGAAGAAAAGCAGCCTGCAGCAACAGACAGGGAAAGTGAAAGCAAGCAACACTTACAGCATGGGGGGCCAGTGGGGCTGCAGCTGGAGACTGGAAGGGAAGAGAAGCAATCACCAGACTTCTGGAGCAGCATCGCAGTCTGGATTGGAGGAGGGAGGCTGCTCAGAAGTATTTCCACCCCAGAGAGGGGCAGAGTGGTGTCGATTCCCCATGAGCCACAGAGAGAGGAGCACTGAGAGTCCCGGCAGGCAAATGTTGACAAACCTGCTGGAGAAACACTGCAGGTGTAACCCAGAGAAGGAGGCAGGCGGAGGCCTGCATACACAAGGCTTCTGGGAATCCTTGGAGCAGAGTGACAGCTAAGGATCCAGGAGAGAGGCCAGAAGAATTGCCGTTTTCAGGTTAGAGCCTCGCTGCACATGGGAGAGATCCCATTGGGACTGTGAATGCTCCCGAGTAAGCTGGGGCAGGCCTGTGCAGAGCAGTGACTGGATTAACTGATTTTTTTTTGTTGTGATTTGGACATGAGAGCCTGACCCCAGGTGAAGGGGACATGGACTGAGTCTGGCAAAGAGACTGAGAGCGGTCAGGTTTTGCTTTCTTTTTTTTTTTGGATATTTGAGTGCAGGCCAAGGCCAGCCCTGGAAGGGTGTGTGCCTAACTATAGCCAATGGTCACCCTCATGGCTGAGAGTGGAACAATAGACCAACAGGCAGCATTAAGATCTGGGCTTCAGAGAATGAGTGCCATCTGGAGAAGCTAGGGTGTGATAAAGGGGAGGTTTGGAGCTCCACAGAAAAAAAACAGGGATTGAGACCAGGTAGGATCACCTTGGGCATTGCCTTTTAGCAATATAATATCATCAAAGTCATGGCAGGTGAGAAACATAAGACCAACTTATTGGCAGACCAAGTAATCTGAAGCCGAGGTCCACCGTGTCACTGTCTGTAGGAAAACAAGCTCAGGGCAGTGGCAGCAAGCCCTACAACACCTACAGTCATCACACTTGGCATGGAGCTTCTGGTTGTTTGCCCATGTAGACAAACACAGGGAATGATGTTGCTGCATCACAGCACCACCAAATTTTCAAGTCATATTTGGCAGGCTTGCTGAGCATATATTCTCTGAAGGGACAGTGACCCCTGAATGCAATGAGCTGCTCATCAACCATCAGATATATTTCTGGAATATACCATTTCTTGAGCTGCTCCACAAATTGTGTCCAAATATCTCTGAAGGGAGCAAGTTTGTCCACGGCTCTCATTTCCTTACATGTCAGTTTGTTGTCAAATCTCAGGTAGTTGGTGATTTGATGGAATTGTTTTCAATTCATGGTGGCACAGAAGCAAGGACACCCAGTGCATTGCTCCCACAACTCCTCCAATGCCTTGTGACCACTATGGTATAGACCACTCAGCAGTAGGAGGCTAATGTAGGCTTTCAGTTCTGTTTCATCCAGCTTTTTACACTCCT